CTAAATACAGTGAGATGAGCTCGGAGGAGGTTTATGGGGTTGTCCTACACTCTTCAGGTGGCAACCTCCTTCACATTGTTGCTCTCAGTGGGATGTACCAAAGTGCAGCTTGTATGGTTGCCCGCTGGCCTGAACTGCGTGATGCGAGGAATGATGCGGGTGAAACCCCGCTTGAGGCTTTGGAATGGCTGATCGAGGAGGATAAAATGAGACTCGAATACTTCGATGCGAGTGAGCGATTTAGGCATGGATGGCTCACGCCCAAGAACACTGAAGAGACCTTAGCTGTGCTACGTGGATAGTTAGCTTACCCATGGGGTCAACGAATTCGTTCGGTACAAAGATCCTCATAAACTCATCAGACGATTGTTAAACGTGTTGGACTTTATGAAATTTCGACTAAAGCAAGTGCTGGATACACCGCGCACATGTGAACTGTAGAGAACTACGACGCTGAGCCATTGCCAGTCTGCTCTTTACCCTCTTCGCTGCTCACTGGGGTATACTCAGCTCCAATCAGCTTCGCCAGCTCTGAGATGTTGGTGTGATCAACCGTGTTTTGCATGCGGTACATATACTCGCATTCGCCATCTACAAATGCCTTTTGTTAGCAGTGCGACCGCGAAAGGACCAGTCAACATCTGAACACTTACCAGCCGATAGAACCACCTCCCCACCATTCAGTGCCTTTGGTCCCACAGAGTTCACATGCTGCAGGTTTCCCAACGCGCCCTTGATGCCGCCGAAGATTCTGGACATGGTACTACCCGCGTTGCGCATGTAATCTCGCTGTTCGTCACCAGCTTTGCCCTCAGCTAGATTGGACTTGAACTGGAAGAGCTTGTGCAGCCGAAGGCTTGGATCAGTGTAGATAGGGTATTTGGACGAAGTGTTGGCAGCATAGGTATCGATGGGCTGATAGGAGCCGCATCCTATGATGAGAACTAGACACGATCTGTTAGATGAATGTGCTGTAACCTCGTACGGCCCATGCTTACTCTGCGTATTGGAAGGGAGATTCGAGGGCGGTATAGACTCGCTAATGCAGCGGACGTATGCTTGGCAGTTCAAGCACCCTGTCGATGTTAGAATCCTTCACGCATCCTGATCTTCCACTACCCTTCTGATCGAGATGATGCGAGCGTAGCACATGAACCCTGCGATTGAACAGCACTCACAGAAATGCCGAGTGAACACCAATACAGTCCTCTGGCCTTTGACCAGTTCACCCAATGTCTTCGTTTTCCCTTCGCGATCGTACACATCAACTTTGAGCGCTTCCGACAGCTCCTCGGCTGTGGGCAGTTTACGTGCGCCAGTCACGTCGGCGGATTCGGGAGCAGCGGCAGCCATCATGTATGATTTTGCATGTAATGGGGGTCTATCTCGAGTTTCTGTGGCGGTTGGCAGCGCGTTGTTTGCTGTCTATGGTCATCCCTTGGTCTTGGTGATGACGATTGCGGGTGACGGGAGCGGCATGGCGTTGGGCTAATGGCGGCGCTAGTACCGATACTATATAGTGTGACTGCCATGAGCGTGACGCTGTTCGGAAGGAGCTCTGGCTGTTTTTCTCTTGTTCGATCGCACCACATCACGTCGTTGTGAAACAGAACGACTCCTTGTAAAAACATCAGGCCTTGTCTACAACACATGCGCTGAAGTCTATGTCGCCGACGGTTTGCTTGCAGCACCATTTGACGAATTTGAGTTCATCAATTACAGCAGGAGATACAGAGACGAGAAGTTGCGACGAGATTTCAGCCATAGATGAAAGCGCACGAGGCTCGATACTATTGTCGCGCAAAGCTTAGCAGAACTTGCCTTTGGCGACTCGGATCTGGACTACCACTAACACACCGATTGTGCCAGCTCAGCCTCGCCCTTCAGCACGTTCCAAATCGCGGCCGCCGAGGCATGCAACAACCACGAAGCGCCGTTCGTGATGGACTGAAGCGGAGCGTCCGGACGCGGGGATTTGTTTTCATGGAGACGATCGGCTAGCCGAAAACCACGTCACAAACTCACAAATCTTCCGGCCACATCGTATTCGGCACATGGGACTACCCGGGCAGGCAGTACGTGGATCCCAAAAGTGACATCAAATGTAAGGTTACCTTGCAATTTGGTCCTATTTTGTCACCGCTGCTCGGATGACAGCCGAAGCGATCACCTTTCAAGCTTCGTCAAGCTCGATTGACAGGTGCTATTCCATAGTGGGCTGCTAATAATGGAGCGACTAGTCGTTAGCTGCCCATCAAGCCTCGCCGGGATGCATCCGAACTATCGAAAAAGACCCTTGAACCAGGAAACGTCGCTCGTGTTAAGCGCAATATCGTCATATCATGCGACTGAGCCTCGTATTGCGGCGCAACAAGAGCCGAACGTCGTAGAAGTCTCGCTCGCGAGCCAATGAGGCTTCTCTCGCCTCTCCGGGAGCCTCACGAGAGCCACAACATGACACCAGGGCTAAGCAAGGACGTGATCAGCTGTTCCTCCTCCGTATATCCGATCACACTCCGTTACTACCGACAGTTAGGATGACATCGTGGTGGCCATGTACATGAAAGATATATAGTCCAGCCATCGCATCTCCAATTATTTCCATCTTTATCACCAGTCCACAGTCAAGCACAACTAGCAGCACCTCCTCAACACACACCATACATTTCTATTTCACCCAAGGCCCAAAAGACATCATCGCCAAGATGCTCGCCAAATCTGCTGCCATCGCATTGATTCTAGCATCCGCTGCATCAGCATCTCCGACTCTCCGCATGCGCGAGGACAAATGCACAATCGCCTACGACTCATGCGTCGCCGCAGGAACTGCTGAAGTCATCTGCTCATGCGACCGGACCGCTTGCTACGGTGAGGACGCCGCCCGCATCCGCGAGTGGTGCTCATCTCAAATCGCCCTCCTCCCAAAGACGACCTCAACTGCTACTTCAGCGGCGGCCTTCTCTTCCATCTCCGGCATCCCCGGTGGCTGCAACCCAGCTCACCCTGGATCGTGCCCTACCCCAACCTCTGCCCCAGCTGCCACTTTCTCATCCATCTCTGGCATTCCCGGAGGCTGCAACCCTGCCCACCCAGGATCATGCCCTACACCATCCGCTGGATCTCAACCAGCCGCTGTCCCTACACCAACTGCTGCCCCTTGCCCTGCGGTAACTGGAACACCAAACTCCAGCCCCAAGCCCGTTGAGGGCAAGACATGGACCGTCTCGAACCTAAGCCGCTACTGCATCGACGGAAACTCGGGTTGCGACTACAATTTCGACTTCACCGCGGATGGCAAGACCGAGCACTGCACTGTTATCCGCATGCCGGGCTCCAACGCTGCTACCGAGAGCTGGTCCAACCAGTCGTGCGGTACTGACTTGACCGTCTCTTGGGGATACACCGCGCAGCCCGTGCCCGCATTCGCTGTTATCACTGTCAGCAAGTGCAGTGAGCTCGCTTGGTTCGGCGTTTCTGATGTCAACGGCGGAAAGGTTTCGCCCAGCAGCCCCTTCGGCTCTGGTGACTTTGGCACTCTTCCTGCCTCGCCTGTTTACACTTACTACTAGATGGTTTTGACGTACGATTGATGAGACGGAAATGATAGATATCACGAAATGGGTGGACTGAGATTAATGTAATGATTTTTGTAGAGTAATAGACCACGAGAATGATGGGGATTAGATGTAGAGCTTGTACATTTTGTACCTATGTTCTTCGCATGTTCAGACTGCGCCATCCTCACCACGAAATCGCGGAGCATTGTTGACTTGATGGAAAAATTAACGAGCAAGTGGCCGGATAGATCATTCTTCATTACTTAACATGCCATCACACCAATGTATATTCTTCGCCTTCGTTGTGTCTCCAGAGCGAGTGTAAAAACCCGCACTGAGTAAACTGATCAGAGTGAGCCTCCCAGAACTGACTCTCTATAGAACAAATTCCCACGACAGTGAAACGATCACCTCTGTAAGGCCTCAGGGTAATGAAACCAGGACATCCTTTGATAGTACAGATTTTGTCGCCCATGAGTGGTTGCTTTACGCATCCAAGGTAACCATCCTTGGTCAAAAAGAGAAGTTTGTTGTTGACAAGATATGTTTGGTTACGTAACTTCTGGAAATTGTTATCATCAACTGTAACACGCCTTTTCCCATGGTCGCCCGTGTATCTGTCGTAGGTTTCCAGAAGTTCTTTCGCACTAAATTCGTCCCATTGACCCCAAGTCCCGCGTGCGAAGTCGGGCCGATGCTGTTGTGTCAAGACAACACCTAACAAGCGCTCACGAGAACACGGGATATGTCTCTGCACCTCAGAAAGTCGCTCATCGAGTGCAAGATAATTTTCAAGGCTTTCTTTTCTCCAGTCATCTGACTGATAGCGAAATCCTGGCGCGAATGCAGTGGATATCGTGTCGAGACATATAGCTTTGACCTTCAGTTCAAAAGGATTTTGAGATTCTAGCCAAGAGTGACGTTGAATAGGACGATAAAAGTCTCCAGACCATCGTACAAGAAGTGGCGTCGTAACTGTCGCTTTCCATTCCGGAACCCACGAAGGCAAAGGCTCGAGCAGGCGTTGGTCGCTTTTCTCGCGATCACAATAGGCCAGTATCTCCAGCGACAACGAATCTCGAATTATAGCTATCGCAGTCCTTACGAGTGTCTGTTCATAGGTGGAATCGTAATCCGGTTTTACAGATACAGAACCGTCTCTGAAGTGCTGTAGCCCTAAGAATGCATTCACCGAGTCTCTAGGATCAGTAGTTCGCAACAACGGCGAAACTGCTGAAAGAACCCATGTTAAAGGCATCGCTTCACCATTTCCACCACCATCATTGTGTTCTGTACGCCAGCTGCGGTGCATTATAGACAGCGAATGATAAGCTCGTAGTATGGTGGGATGTGGCGTCACTGAAGGTAACCCAGGATACAGCCTCGAAGGTAATGAGAGGCGACGCTGTTCATCGGTAACACTGTAAGGCTGGTTGCTAACAGCTACCTGGAATATCAAAAACAGTACTAGAAAAGGCAAGGTCACGCCTCCAAAAATGAACAGTGCGTGCCTTGAGAGCACGATCTCTTGGAAGACCCATGCGCGAGAGAACCATTCACTGTCCAGAAGTTGAAGTATTGCCATAAGATCTTCCAACCCATTTTGTAGCGCGTATCTCTCAATGTTTTCACGAAAAGCAAAGTTGGATCCGCGAACTTCCAGCAGATACCTGACCATCTCGATGAGGTTGATTGTTGATTTGGCGAGTTTGGAGCCGATACCCAGCCACGCCAAAACTCTTTCCCCTTTCCTGTAGATGTCACCCATCATCTTGACTTGATGATTGCGCTCTTGCGTGCTAGACTGATTGATGTTGATTTGGTCGATCCACAGATATCCAGTCTTGCATTCCGCCGAGAGATAAGGAAGGGCTTTGGCGAGGTTGTCGTTGACACGTATCGTCCGGCCACCCCGCAAACGTATGATGTTTTGGCGCGTATCCGGACCCCAGACATACGAGACGGTTTCGAAGGGTGGAGCATCAGTCAACGTTGTATGTTCGATGTCGTATTGCCACTGTTGTGGTCCTGTTTTCTCGACTTTGAATATTCGAATCTCGTTTTCTTTCTTGAGATCTCGATAGATGTAGGCGGGTAGGGTGGATGCGTCTTGCTGGGTTTGGGCAAGGCTGGCCTTGGTGACTGACTTGTGGCCTGCATGCGGAGTGGTCTTGCGACATTTTGTAGGCGGCTCAGAAACCTCCATTTGCACAATTATTCGCACCAAGATAAGGAAGTAGTCTCCCCAGGTAAGCTCGAGATGAACGAGAGTACTTAAGTGGGTGCGCAGGGCGGCTGAGATGATAGAAGGTGGACGGCACAGCCCCGCTGCACACTCGCCCACCGATCAGGCAGCTGCGCACCACCTGGGCATCTTCCGCTCAGCCCGTCTCGTTAATTCTGCTACCACGCAGTTTTGGGTGTGCGAGTGAGTGCGCGCCGTTAAAATAACATTGCACAAAAGCTGATCCGACTGTCCCGCGCATAGTGGCGCGTATCATTCATTGTGTCAGGCACGCGCAAGGTGTGCACAATCTGTCTTACAGCAACCACAACATCCCAGATCCATCGCTCACACCGTATGGCGAGCACCAATGCCATGAACTTGCAGCAACGTTTCCGTACCACGCCGAAGTTGAGCTCGTGGTCGCTTCACCCCTACGACGAACAATTCACACCGCGTTATTAGGATTCGAGCGAGAAGCGTCACGGGGTGTCCAGGTCCTGGCCTTACCCTCGTTGCAAGAGGCGAGCAAATTGCCTTGCGACACTGGCAGCGACGTCGAAACTCTTCAGAAAGAGTTTGAGAACACCGTAGCGGACCTCGGCCTTGTAGAAGAGGGCTGGCAAGTGAAAGTAGGCAGATGGACCATCAAATCTTGATCCAGCATTCCAAAAAGTATCAGTACAGGGTAGGCTTACCAAGTATGGCAGACTGACGCATCGCTCACGAGTGCTTCACTTCTCGCTAGAGCCGAAAGTGCTCGGCAATGGCTTCGAGACAGACCAGAGAACAACATTGTTGTGGTCTCGCATGGCTGCTTCCTACACTTCCTGACCGATGACTGGAAGGGCTCACTGAGCGCACAAGGTTTGCAGTCACTTAATCGCTGCATTATTTTGACGATTGCTGATCATCTATGACTAGCCACCGGATGGTCGAACGCGGAGTTTCGTTCATATGAGCTTTTGAGGGATGGCGGCAGCACCCTACTAAGGGAGACAGCAGACTCAAAGGAGAGGAGAGGAGTTGCAGCATGCGATCATGAGAGCGAAGAGAAGAGGCTGCTCGAGAGAAAGAAGACCATTGACACTTGGTTAACGTGGGGCATTGTCACTGGTTGAATCATGGGGTCTGGTAAGATTGTATGGTATATCGAAAGAACAGCACGCGTATCCGCTTCCAACACCGAAAACCTCTTCACCCCTCCATCTGCCCTTTGACATCTTCCCACCACTTCCCAACCGCTCCTGCCCTCTCACCATCTCTCGCCTTGATCTCGCAGGGGAACGGCAACGGTCCCCCGATAACATGCGGTGTCCATTGGTCCGGCCCAATCTCTATTCCGTCTTTCTTCCCAAGCTCGAAATTCTTGACCAAGTTTCCACAAAAGACCAGTAACTCCGCTTCCGCAAGGTCTTGGCCGGGACAAACTCTCTTGCCCCTCCCAAAGATATGATGACCCTTCAGGCGTGGGTGCTCGGTAAGTGGAGATTTAAAGTTAGGGGAAGAGGGATCGAGCCAGCGGGAGGGGTCGTAGACGGAGGGAGGGGAAGAGGAGTAGGTAGTCGGATTTTGAGACATGGCGATGTCGAGGACGTGGACGACGGCGCCGCGGGGAAAGTGGTAGCCTGAGTGGGTGTAGTTCTTCGAGAGTAGGCGGGGAACGCCTGATGACTGGTCAGCTTCAAGCTGCATACATTTTGGGACAGATCGAAGTTAATGATACAGGGAAGAAGGAACTCACCGAGTGGAACAGTACTCTTCCACCTCACACATTCCTTGATAGCGGCCCTCAAAATAGGTAACTGCGGACTATGCTTCAAGTCCACCATCTCTTCCTTTTTCACTACTTCGTCGATCTGCTGTCGTACTTTCTCCTGCCAGTCCGGATGCAAAATCATAGCCATGACGAACAGCGTCGCCGGTCCACCGATAGTATAGATCGCAACAGTGCAGAGCATGCCAACTGCAGCCTTGGCCTCCTCCTCGTCAGCAAAGAGAAGGTCGGTATCAGAGCCAATAGCTTTGGTAACCAAGCTTGCGGTGGTGTAAATTGTCTTATCTTTGGATGCTTTTGCCAGATCGAATGTGTCCTTCCACAGCGCTGCTTCCTTTTCTCGGCGTTCTCTCACTCCGCGCTGACCCGGCGCCATCCACTCAGGGAAGTATCTTAGGAACGGCATGAGATTAGGTATGGGCCCAGAAGGGCCAAGTTGGGAGATGAAGGCACCGGCATTGATCATGTGATCTATTGAACGATCGGCGGTGCCATACGCGAGGCGAGAGCTGATTCTAGCGCAGAAGAGATGGGTGAGAGTGAAGAAGTCTTCTGGCTTTTGGGAGAGCTCGTGCATGAAGCGCTTCATCTCAAGCTGGATGTGACCGTAGTATTGGTTCTTAGCTGCGCGGGTCATCATTGCGTTTGCGAATCTTTTTTGACGGTGGAAGTGATCTGTAAGTTGGAGGTCAGTGACAAGCTCATATCAGAGTCTTGGTAATGGCAGACATACCTGTGTACCCGAGCAGAGGCAAGTACAAAAAGTCCTGTGTCACCCCTGGGAAAGACCCAATATCTGCCCTCGCCGAACTCAGCTCAGCATTCTTGACCATTAAGTCTTGCGCAACATCTTCTCTTGCGACCCAGATGTGCGTTTCGCCCCCAAGTGTACATGCGAACAGCCCGTCATACTGCTTGCTGAACTTGTGCATTGAGGTCCAAGCCTGCATGCGGTCGACATCATGAACGCGACCTAAGTAAGGAAGTGTTGAGCGCGGACCCGGGAGAGCTTTGAGACCGGAGCCAAACGGCGGAAGTTCGCATGTGAAGTAGTGAAAGCAATGGTATGTAACAAAGAGAAACAGAAGTATGAGGAGGGTGCGAAGTACAGACAGGAAGACTTGATATCCAGAAGTAGGGAACGAATAGGCTGTATGATCTATCGTAGCGTTAACGGACTGGAGGATGGCCGCTGCGTCTGGCAGCTGCATGTTCGGTGCAGAGTTGCCCATGTCGACTGTGGCTGTATCTCGAACTTGGGGTTGAAATTCGCACCTTCCATCGCTGGCCGATGCAAATGTCCATATATACACTCGAAGCGACATAGTAAAGCCACTTCCACAGGTGTGGTCAGCAACCATCAGCCTAATCTTTTTTTGGAAAACGGTCACCGATCATGTGGCTGCTCACACATTTTCCCTCGCAACTCATTCATATTAGATATACTCAATCAGTTTCGGGGCCGATTCAGCTGCGTAAAGAGTAGTGACTAGTGAGGATATTCGTACACTGCAAGAATAGGAGCAGCAAAGTAGGAAGGTCAGCTCAAATGTCGTTCCACGCTCTCGGGTTGAGCATGCGCATAATATCCTCATCGATACGGGACGTATATCGGTTCCCGTGAAAGCTTGATGCATGCGTGCTGCGACCGTGCGTACTGTATAAGCACCGATGCATCTTCTTCTTTTACTGTGAAACTTCCTGATTCACCGTATTACTAGGGCCCATGACGAATGAGGAATCATTTTCGCATGTGCTGTCATCATCTTCTACGCTGTTACCGGTTTCGGGATCGGTCCAGTCGCCAGAGTCGCCATCAGTGTTGCCTTCCTCTTCCTGGAAGTCAGCCTACATGCCGTGTGCGATATGATTGGATGTGCTAGCGTTGCGTGGACCGAGTCTAGAGTCAAACTGATATCGTAGACGATTGTGCTTGGATGGGATTATGCGCCGGAACTGCGAGATCGTTAGCGATGTCTGAAGTGATACTGCCAAAGCAGCCATTCGCAGCGCGTCCGTGAGAGTTTGTCCACACATGCCGCTGATCTTATATCAGTCTTGGCATGAGTTAGATCGCATGGCAGGTATCAGAAAGCTGTCGCGATCAGAGCATAGTATGGCGCTTCTATTTTCAACGTATCTTGGAGTGGGATGGAGGAAGGAGTGTGGATTTGACGCGTTTGGGGGGTTTGTGCTTGGCCTGAACCTCGGCACATGCAATGACCCTGAGCTAGGCCCGATTGGTCATTCTCCAAAATCATGACAACTGCGCGTAACTGCAACGCGTCCTCAACACCAACATTGTGAACTTTCTAGCATTGGAGAAGTGTATATGACATGAAGAACTGCACACGTTCGAACATGTGGCGTTGTTCATCATGCTCCACTTACCCCACATCGGTTAGCGCTACTGCAAATCTCAAATTGTCCTGGCCGCGACTGGACTATTCAAGCTCGAGATAGACCAGGTATATAGCCACCAGCATGCTTACGCTTCTTCTCTCAATCTTCATTGGTCTCATCGGGTTCTATCTCGGCTTCGTCTTGCTACTCACGATCCCGACTCTACAGGATCACGTCATCTTCCTGCACCGAGTAACCCGAACCTGGAATCAGGATATCAACGTACCCGAGCAGTGGGGCTTTCTGCGCAACCAAGTCACCCCCTTCAATCTCAAGACGCCAGATGGTGAGACTCTACATGCTTGGCACGTTCTGCCACTGGAGACATACCGCCAACATCAAACCCAACTCCGTGAGGAGCCAGTCGGACTCTGCGCGAATGTCGAAGACCGGATCTCCTTCCGTTTACTGAAAGACCCTACTGCGCAAGTAGTTATATATCTGCATGGTGCAGCAGGCACACTGGGATCTGGATGGCGGCCACAAAGTTACAGGGCGATGAGCGCGACATCGACCAACGTACATGTCCTGGCTATCGACTATCGTGGTTTCGGTGCCAGTACTGGGTGGCCTTCGGAATCGGGTCTTCTTACTGATGCGCTTACCTTGCTCAAGTTCGTAACGGATATTGCGGGTATATCATCAGAAAGGATTGTGGTCTTTGCCCAATCCATGGGTACTGCCGTAGCATTATCGCTCACTCATCACTTGGCTTCACAGCCTACTCCTGTCGTTCTAGCGGGAGTCGTCTTAGTCGCCCCATTCGCCGATGTGGAGTCGCTTACCAGGACGTACAAGGTTGCTCGCACCCTCCCGCTGCTCTCCCCTCTCGCAGTATTTCCACCGCTTATGAACCTGCTGAACCGATTTATCGTCACCAAATTTCCATCCAAGGAGAAACTCGCAGCACTCATTCACCGGCTGGACAGTATCAAAGTCAACGGCAAGCAGCGAAACTATGACATCACGTTAATACACGCCGAAGATGACTACGATATCCCATGGAGTCACTCAGATGTCCTCTTCTGGCACGCTGTTAACGCAATGTTTAATTCACCCTCTCCCATTGCCTTCGAAGAGCTAGAAAAGGTCAAATCGAGGGAGAGGACGCCTCTAGGTGCTGGTGGTTGGGAAGTGGACTGGAAAGGGAAGCGTGGGATCATCAGAGAACAGATTGTTAAGCATGGCTTTCATGATCGTATCATGAGTTATCCCGTTGTCAGTCTGGCCATCTCGAGGGCACTCCATACGTAGGTGAACAGCCCATGACCATTGGGTAGGAATACCGTATTTGCGGCGACTAGATCGCGCCGCGTCGGACAATAAACCCCCCCAGTTAGACACACGTCTCACCGTCCCAATTCAATTTGATCGTCTTTGCTTGATCTCGGTTCTCCATTCCGCTGAACACATCGAGCAGGATGAACGAGATACCTTCGTTACGTCCCGATCCGATCTTCATGTTATGCCAAACCCCAATTCTATTCAGTATTGCCTCTTCATCATCCCAGTGAGTGCCTTTCACGAGTTCTGGACCGAAGTAAACATGCTTCAGCTTGGGCAAGGAGATGCCAGTCTCGTCAAGGCTTGTTCGCAGATCTATGACCCAACCGAAGAACCATCTTGTCACGAAGTAGGTCCCGACCTGGATAGAAATCGATGTGAGCAACGCTCGTTGTGCACTATTAAGGCTCTCCAACAAGATCTGACCAGCTGTCATGCTGTCAAAGTGGAAGAGGTTCTTTGCGTACTGACTGAGCGCTGTTTCACGGTGCAGCTGGCGGCATACGAGGCCGATGGTAAAGATTCCCGATACAGGTGCACGAATGCTCGCCTGGGCGCTTTTTGCGTCCGGTCCAGAAGGATCAGCCGAGGTGAGGTAGACCGACGTTTTTCTCCATCGCTTGTAGGATTTTGTTACGACGATGATGTTTCCGCCAACAGCTAACTCGTAGATACGATTGCGCAGCTCGCCAGGCAGTCGGAGTAAAGGCGACTCGGCCTGATTGCGCAAGGTGCTGCATCTTATTAGTACAGTACAAGATTTTAGTGTGTTGACCTACATTTCCTCCAATGAAACCGTCATCTTGATCGCTTCAGGTGGTGCTCTACCGCAAGGTTGTTGTGACCTAGGTAGTCGTGAGTTGCGAAGGCAGAGGATAGATCTTATTGCGTGCGCCGCGTTTATTTCGTAAAGGCGCTAGCCAGGAGTCGTTTCAATCAGGGTGAAGGCGTAAAGAATCTTGGCGATTACTGAGAGAAAACCGGACAAACGCTCGTCTCTAATGCTCAGCGCAGCTTCACCGTCAAGAGGTCATAGAAGCTCCCACTTTGAACAGACATACGGGCTGGAAAACTCAACCAACACACACGAATCATGTTGGAGCCTACAAAATTGCGGAATAGTATTGGGATAGATGACGGTGTTTGGTCATACATATCTTCCTGATTCAATCCCCAGGTGCGGGCGTGCACTTCGTGGTCGGGGTCTTTCGCGCTAGCCTTGATACGTCATTTGCTTGGCGGAAGGGGATCGCGTCCAGTCGCGCTCAAACCTCTGTCTCAGCACTCCGCCTCCGCCAAATATGCCCACACCTACCTCCCCACATAAATCAGCTGGCACCTTCCATCTCTCTATACGTCACTCGCGCCCATTCGTAGAACGGAACCGGCGGCTGAACCTCCTTGCGAGTCAAGTACTTCCACCAATTCGCCCAGACATGCTGTCGTATGTACCCCACACGATACGCGACATGCCACCCCGTTGGTAAATCGAACGTATACTGCAGCTCTTCCAAGGTCCGCATCCTCGTCTCTGGAACGAACAAATACACCAGCACAAACGCCACCATATTCAAGCCTGCGAAGATAGAGAATGCAGCTGTCGGCCGAATGCTGTCCTGCAGGAATGGGAAGACTAGGACCAATACACCAGCGCCCAAGAGGTTGACCGCAACGGAGACGGCCATACCCGCCTCTCTCGATACGAGAGGAAAGACCTCTGCTGCGATCGAGAACGGAGACGTACCGGCTGTCGGGGCATAAAAGGCAACGAAGATGACCGCGAAGATGCTGACCAATGGTATCTGGACGGACGTGTCGGTGATTTTGAAGAGGAAGGCAAAGACTAGGATTGACCATGCCATGTTTGGTAGGCCGAGCAAAAGCATGACGGAACGTCCCAATCGATCCGAAGACCAATAAGCAGGAAGCCCGAACATGTAATTCGCTGCTCCAAAAGCCAGACCTATTATCGCGGATGTACGATCACTGTTTGTTCCGGAGTTGGGCCACACTATCGTACCTAAGAAGGCGATCGTATTGACGCCTGTCAGAGTCTGGGTGATCATGGACACGGAAGCGCACAGCAATGCTCGTCGACACCGCTTGTTGGACCATAACTCCCTCAGACGCTTGTAGTAGCCGTTGACACCGATGTTGTACGAGTACGGATTGTTCTTCTTCGTTCGTTTGACCCCAACCTCGAAGTTTAGGCTGGAGATGTCACTCCACCTCCTATTCAATGTCGCGAGCTCAATGTTACTGTCTTCGTTTTGCTCGGGCTGCGGCCTGACTTGGTGCTGGCTATCGTTCCGAACCGCTGTTGGCCCTAACTTCGTTCCCTCGACATTGGGATCTAGGGCGAATCGACCTGGCGATACGGCTCCATGTTCAGCAGCCCTTTCTAATTGTGCGCGATTTGGCGATGGCGAAGATGGCTCTCCAGAAAAGCTCGGCAAGCTGACATCTACGCGATCGGCCAGGGTGCCAAGCTCATTTGTTTCCCCTTTTAAGAGTCGGCTTTCGAAATCCAGCTGAGCATGCGCATACATGAAATCCCGACTTGCTAGTAACCGCGTGGTCTGGACCTGTTCGAAGGCTTCGAGCGCTTTGGGGTATTTTCCATGCTTCATCAAATATCGCGGCGATTCCGGCATTAAGTATATCATCACCAGCAATGGCACTGTGGGGATGAGCACAGTGTTCGTAAGAATGCGCCATGCGGACTCTGCTTTCTCCACATAAACAACGACCAGCAAGTTTGCCAGAAACCCGAGAAAGATGCCTACCGGATCAGCGATTACACCATATCAAGGGGAGCGGACGTACCGGCTGCATCAGCAAGCTGCCAATTCGCCAGAACAGCGCCACGTATATGCTCCGGTGATATTTCAGCCGCATATATTGGGACTACAAGGTGTTAGATTCATCGACGCAAGCATGAACGAGAGCTTGCACTGACCTATCGACGCTTTTGCACCCAGAGCTATTCCGTTGATAGCTCGGCAAGCTGCGAGTGAGCCTACATTGTGCGTAAGTGATGCACCGATTGTCGAGGCTATTGTGATGCCACAAGACAGCATCACACTACCTCGCCTCCCTAAGAAGTTCTCCTGCAGCGGATCTGCAAGGAGTGTACCGAAGAGGCCTGCGGAAAACAGCGGAATGGCGTTTAGCATCCCAAACGTCCAAAGATCGGACGAAGGACAGTTCGTTTCTCTGCGATAGCAGAGGCCAAATTCGTCTGGCATGCCATGAGCAGTGCCATTATTGGCGCTTTGCGTCCATCCTTGGATCATGCCCGCAAGACTTGCGGTCATGATTGTCGCGCGGAGAAATTTGGACTGCTTCCAAAAGCCTGTACTCTCATCCTTTTCCTTCTCCAACAACTCCTTTTCCGAATCTGTGAGCTCATCCGCGTATTTTCTCATAGTCTCATACTTGTCTCGAGCGAGACGAGCACCAAATCGAAGCAACTCATAGCGGTCTTTGAGACCGGCTAATGAAGCAAATTCCCACACATACTCTTCTAGCTCAGTACGTTGAGTCTTGAGGTCGGGAATCGTGTCATCGAACGTCAGAAACGGATTATCTATACTATGCCAAGTCAGTTACACTCTGTTAACATCGACTCATGCGCATACTTTTGTCTTGCGCCTGTTGAGCGCTGTTGATTCGTCGCAAGGGTTTGGATCCCTACTGTGCTTGCGAAAGCTGTTGCTTGCTGAAGGGGTTCAGTCATAGTGGCCAGCGCTTTGAGCAAGAGTATGTCGCTTTGGGGCCGTAATCAATGTGCGACAACGCGCCCCAGCATCACAATATATGTTTGCCTGCCGCATCGGGCTGAGTCCTATAAGGTTGACAGGCCTTTCCAAGGGCGAGCCTGATCGTGCATACGGCATGTCTTGTCGGGGTCCTCCACCGCCATATTACCTACAAATGCTCCTAGACGGGTGGCTGAGCAATAAGTCCACGTTCTGATGATCGCCCTCTTCTCAGTGGATTGGTTGCCTTGCCAATGCTTTTCGCATGCATCGCTGCCCTTTTTCAGGCGACATGGGTCTTGGGAGACTTTGGCCAATGAACGCATACATCGCTAAGTGCCTTCAGACGCCACCAAGCCGCAATTGGCATTAGGGTCAGCCCTTGCATCACCTTGCAACCTTGGATTTATTGGTGACACTTAGTTCTCTCCTCAGCCCTCTGCCGAGCAACATGCTTTGAAATCGCCTAGCTAGGACGCGCCATCGCGGGGACGTCTGTTCTGCCCTTCGAGACGCCGTTCGAGACTATGAACCAGTTTACGTGAAATCGCAGGCATTCGGAATAAGCTTCCGAAGGACGAGTTCCTCGGCGTATGAGCTGTCCCCGCAGCCCGCTCGGCTAGTCGATATGTGGTGTGGTGAGAAAGGGACGGCACATAAGCGGCTGCCTACTTGATCTGTAATAGTGTGGCCGTCGAGCTTTCCCCGCCAGCCGCTTTCCCCAGGTACGTGTGGAGTTGCCCCAGCCCGTTGACGCATCGGACGAATGCCAACCCTTGCATGGAGCATTTGACTGTTTATACTTGACACTTACGTCAACTCACTTCACACGTGTGCCTCTCACATTACCCGTCCTCATTCTTGGTCATGAACAGGCTGCACGCGTTCTGCTAAGCCCCTTCTTGATCTTTGAGCCGCCTGGCAAGAGGCCTTCTTCAAATGAGATCGATGCCACATCCGTAACGATCGTTGCGCTTTCGCCTACACTTATTAAACGGTATCCTTGTGTAACACCACAACCTGGCTCCAGACTTCCTCCAACGATCCACTTTAAAGCGGGCCTGGCCACCACACACGGCACCCAAGTAACCATGGCCGAGCCGGTCTCCAGCATAATTACCATCGCAACGGTTGGGCTGGCCCTCGTCCGAGCATGCAAGAACTATATCGAAGCGGTGCGGGAAATCGACGACTTGGTCGACCGACTCCTCGAAAGAATAACAGAGTTGCATGGAGTTGTACGCCTACTCAACTCGAAGTACCATCAAGCTGAGCCCGATGGCAATAGCGAGCCGTCAATCTTGGTGCGTGAGAAGATCGCGCTATGTCGCGATCGTCTTAGAGAGATCAAACGCAAAATAGCAGATTTGGGACTTCAAAGCAAAAGTGCGGAGACCTTTCTCGACAAGGCCTCTGTGAAACGAAGAATGGACACAGTAGCCAAGGATATCGAATTCGCGGTAGATGACATTCGACGATACCTCGGAGATATTGTCCTTGTCACCGGAGCCTGCTCATATCTGTTCGTACGGTTCTCCCTCAGACTTATACATTTCTAACGCGATGGTAGTGAAGTCAGCTCCTATATTCGCCGCGTTTCCGAGAGCTCAGTACCAGTAAGTATACGTGGAATGTATAGCAGAAGAGATGATGCTGACGCTCAGACAGCAACCCATAGCGTATGTCAGCAAAGAGGATCGGTCAGCTCAAGATGACCTCGTCTCACTTGATCGATGGTTCTCAAATACGGACACTATCTCAGATCCAGCACACCTCCGCAGAGGGTCCAATCCGACATCACCACCGCGTTTCTCTGTCTCCTCGTCCTCTTCGAGCGCTCTTCTTACACAATCCGACGACGACGAAAGCATTCTCTCTAAACAAACCTTCGGCATCTCAAAGCCAGAGGAAGACTGGAAAGTCTTCCACCGCAGAGTGGTGCAGTGCAAAGATGACTCCGCCCTCGTCGCAGAAATCCATTCGATATTGGAACAGCACCCAGAGCCTACCACTCTCGTAAACATTTTGGGGGACCATCAACGCGCTCCCCTTCACCTCGCAGCGCAGCGTGGCTATGTCAATCTAGCTCGCATTCTCCTCGTATTCGGCGCCGATATCAACGCCAAAGACACCGAACCTGCCTCCGTGCTAGATCATGCCGTCGCACACAATCAAGTAGACTTCATTACACTCATATTGGATATGGGTGCCGACGAGTCAGCAATACTGGAACGGAACAAGAATCAGTTGGAGCATAAAAAGGCTGTCATTGCGCTTAGAAAGGCGCGGCAGCAAAGTCCAACAACGGGGAAGGCTCGGAAATTCAGCTGGAGTCTTGGAAGAGTACGCTCAAGCTGAGCCATTCGTCTGGCGGAACCGTAATCCGGACCCCAAGCTGACGGTGGCAACTGTGTGGCGAAGCTGCAGCCCTAGCAGCGAACACGACAGGGCTGCAGACTGTAGCCTACTGCATGGAGCGGAGGTGGGGTTACTCACCGGTCACTAGCCTACCACCGGACGGTCTTACACAGCATTTACGACCCTGCGCCCCCGTCGCGCCGTGCCTTCGGAACATCTTCTCGTTCTCGGACATGCTCGCGTTACTAGCCGATCGGGCCGTGCCACCTGCCACGAAACACCACAGCTGCGGCCTTGTCAGGTCATCCTCGCTGCGTGTTGAGGCTATCTGCACGGAGCATGCCGTACGCCCGCTATGCTGGTCAATACGATCTCCCCCTGCCAGGGCTCTCGGTCTTGGGTGCTGAATCCTAGGTCCTGCGTTAGAGTCATCTCTTCCAATCAGGCCGAGGTACACGCGAAGATTCAAGACCAAGTCATTGCTCCCAAGCACTCTTTCTCTAGCCAGCGAGCATACATCCAGTCTACACGACTTCATTGGATGTTCGACTTCTTGCAAAGACTCGTATTTGGACACGTCTCTTTTCCACCAACGTCCACCCCTCATGATCTATGAAAGAACCACGCCTCTTGTCACTTATCGGCAGCTGGAAGACGTTTTGCACGGGGTTGGGGCTCAGAAACTGCAAAACCTAGAAAATTCTCCAGGTTTTTGGTTCAGTGCCGCATCGCAAACTCGATCTCACGATGTGCGGCCTTTCTCATCCAAGGTGGCCACATCGTGAGTTCACGTCAAACCCTAAGGCAACCGGCTCACGTGGTCAGCGACAGAGTGAATACTCCATTTGTCTGTCATCGCCTGTTGACGCACATGAACACTCTAGCAAGAACCGAGTTTATCCACTTTGCCGACAATCACTGCCAATCCACCTTCGCCCATTCACACCTACCCAAGCCTCAACCCCTACACCAGACGATTACACTCCAGAGCCATGAAGCCCAACTTCACTATAGCCTGCGGGTCTGATAGCTATACTGTCGATCTAGATATCATTACTCCCTACTCTGAATACTTTCGGCGCGCAACAGAATTTGGGAAGGAGGCTTCCGAAGGCACCATAACGCTTCATGACGACGAACCTGCCATGGTCAGTCTCATGATTGAGTTTCTTCATGAAGGCGACTACGACGCCACTTTTTGGAAGATTGATGCGCGCACAAAGGATCTGACATGGATCAGAAGTTACGGCAGCAACCCGTACGCTAGTTGCGAAAGTATCGATCAACACGACCCCTACAGTGTTGATGACAGTTCGAGCTTGCTCTACGGAGAAGCATCACCAGCCGCTGGCGCTATATCTTCATCTACCTCGCGGAAACGGAAGCCTCAAACATCACCAGACCTCCACCCGGATCAGATTACCCAGAAACGACGGAGGATACTTCATGTCATGCCAAAGGGCTCAGGCCGAGCGCTCTACCACACGCCAACACCTCGCCACATGTTGCTACACCTCCAACTCTGGGAAGTCGCAGACAAGTACCTGGTACCCGACCTACAGGCGCTATGTACGAAGAGGTTTCAGGAAGCAGCGGAATACTACCATCCCAATCCCGAGATGATTGACGCTATCTTATGGGTTTACGAAGATCTTCCGGAGCATGCGACGGATCTGCGGGAGGCGGTGTTTATGGTCGTCGACGAGCATCCAGAGCTGCTCGATGATGATGCGGTTAGAGAGTCGCCATCTTGTCAAGGTCTACGTCATTTTATGTCTTCACGGGAAGTTGGAAGGTCGCAGCGGGTTATGACTCCTCAACGCGGGGTTTGGCATTATGTTCCTTAGGATGGTGGAATCATTGTTATCATGCCATATACCATTCTCAGGATGTTGTAAGCTTTTATAGGATATGTTTCCTACACGCCCATAATGATAATCTTTTACACATTACGCACGAGATCAGACGTAGTTGAAGCTACCCACATTGTATCTGAACACGGTCTTACTCCTTCGCACTCCAGTCGACTAGCGCATCTTGGCCCAGTTTGTCTTTGATGATACGCTCACTTAGATCCCAGAGCGCAGCACCAAGGTTCTCATCGCTGGCTTGAGATGTCTCTTTGCCTGGTTGGCCCTGCATCACGTATCAGTTACGAAGTCCGACGTAGAATGTTGACCAAGAGCCAAAGACAACTTACCGGGTCGTTGAAGTAGAACCCGTTCATGTTCTTCTCCTCAATCTCATCCGCCGTGCAGCACCAAAGCGCACTGTACGACCCCTGCTCCACGTCTCGTCCAGCGAAGAGCATGGCATTTGACAACAGCTTGCCCGTGATACCAGGGTACGCGTCCTTCCACTGCTGCTGCATAGCCGTGTTGACAGCGCCTGGGTGTACGGAGAGAGCGTATACGTTATCACCGTTGGGCTTGATAACGCGATCACGCAGACCGTACTTCGCAAACAGAATCATTGCCAGCTTTGTGCGTCCATACAACCGCGTGGGGTCCATGGAGCTATCGTTGATCTCATCCATGCTTGCGAAGTGCACATCGGGTGGCGCTGTACGATGCATCTCACTCGACTCAAAGACGACCCTCGGCGCGGGCTTCGAGCCCATCTTACCCGTCTTTCGGAGTACCGGCCAGAGCTGATTGCATACGTAAAAGTGACCTAGGAAGTTCACTCCGAAGTGACGGTCGATACCGTCCGCGTCTTCCCCGTAAAAGTTCGTGTTGATACCTGCGGACAGAACAAGGAAATCGAGACGGTCGAGCGAGTTGCGCAATTCGGAGAAAACTTCTTTGACTTCCTTGAGGCTGCCCATGTCGCAGTGTTTCCATTCGACCTGCGCGTCGGCCTTCTCTTTCTTGATGCTTGAGATGGCGTCGGCACCCTGCTCTTCTTTACGGTTCACCATGATGACTTTTACGCCTGCGAGGGCGAGTGCGCGGCTGACTTCATATCTTTAAGCGGGTTAGCGAAGATCTAGAAGGATAGAGAAAGAGGCTAGTCGTACCCGATTCCAAGAGCACCGCCAGTGACTACTGCGACGCGACCTTCGAGGTTTTCTGGGTGAACCTCTTTAGGGCCAATGACTTTGTGGAGGACGGACTGCATGTTGATTTCTAGTAAATGTAATCAGGTTATTGTAAAGTAGGGAGTAGAAAAATAAAGACGGTTTCTCTCGATACAAATAAATCACGTTGTGTTTGATATGCACGCTTGTCTATTACCATAAGTGACGTCTTGAGGAATTGAGATGTTGCCCAGCATATGCAGCTGTCACATTCACATGTCATGACGTCACAGTCGGATCACCATAATCGGTACGCAGCACGTTCGCGGTAACGCCTTGTGAGACGAACGAAGCTTTACCTGGGTAATCTTCTACAATCTATACATATCATACTACAAATAGATCAAATAAATACGCCAGGTGTCTAGCGCTTCTTTTACTCAAGAACTTATAACGGTACCTAGGTATGAATTAGGAAATTTGGACCTCTTGATACCAATGTGATTTATGTATTAACCGCGTACGTGGATGCTCCTCGATGGATTTAGTAGAAGACGGTGACGCCATGCTAACCAAACGCGCGGTCACCTGGGCACCCACCGCATCAGTCTCTGCACGTGCTTTTGTTTGTTTGCACCTTCCTTCTTACGTCGTTACCTCGCATTTGATTAGCTCTCACACCCTCCATTGCATCCGCAGCCTGCGTCGCGCAGCTATATGGACAAGATGGCGTCGATTAACGCTGAGCCACCTGGTGAGATATCACGAATGTAAGTGAACGAGCTCGGCCCATACTACAAGATCCACCTTGATCACTGACATGCTTAGTACCGCCCGAAATATAACGCAATCCCCGCTTCTTCGTCTTCCTGGCGAGATTCGCAACAGAATACTCGGCTATGCTGTCGGAGGATACACCGTCACCGTGACAGTCCACTGCAATCCACTATCTGTACGCTCAGGGCTCCAACTAAGGGTTCGTCTCGCCACAGCACACCAATTCAGAAACTTCCAACTTCCCAAATCTCGGAGACACTACATGTTAGGTGTCTACCAGAGCCGGGGCATCCCCACAGAAGATCTGTTCGACTTCCGAGGCGCAGCATGTAGTCTCGACGGCGTTGATCAAATCCTGACCGTTACACGCGTCTGCCGTCAACTTTACCACGAAACCGCTCTCCTCCAGTTCAAGACCAATTGTTTCCATTTCAACTCGATGGGAGCACTTAAGCTTTTCACAGAGAAGCTGGCTTCCGATCAACTTAGAGTCATTACCACTATCTCCATCGGCATACAGTACACGTACGAACACCGTTTTTACAAGCCAAGTGGACCTCAACCACACATACGTGTATTGTTCTCTGGACTCAAGAAGCTATTCATGACGGCAGGTGCGTTGGAGATAGTTTCCGGCGCGACTCCTCACGATAGGCTTGTTGCAGCCGTGGATAGACTGGCCTTCGGTGGTGATGAGGGTAAGGGCTTGTGGGTCGGTTGCTTCTGTGTACTTGACGAGACTGCTGTCTTAAAAGACGCCTTTGGCTTCACGATCGGTGCTGGCGTTGCTTCATCGTCTTGATAGGCTAGACGGAGGAACTCGGTCATCGAGTGAGATAGTGCGAGATGTATGGTCGTTCGACTCTTGCCAGAAGCTGGTTCATTGACTTGTCATTTGTGCGATGGCCAATAAAAGATAAATCAATGTTACCATTTTCACACACAAGCAGTTGATGCAAGAAGACCTAACTGTTAACCTTTCATTTTCCAACTCACCCTCCATAAGTGTAGAGAGAAGAGGTGTTGACAACCACCACCACTATGCTAACCGTATAACCAATACCCCAAGGATCAATTTTAGTAGTATACAAAGACACACCCTGCTAACCAGGATCCGAAAGAACAAGGTTCCGAAAAGGAGAACAAAACGCTGCAAGTACGATGGAAGCAATATAGTACAGGGTCCCCCTGCCTTAGAACGCCTATGCTGATATATGTGCGTGTGTGCTTCTCTTCGAATGCCCCTAGCTTCAGGTGGATATCCAGATTCCTTGCTCTTCTTGCATGATATGATGACCTAATCCAAATCATCCGTATATCAACCCCGCGTGTCTATGCTTCGATTATACTAAGCAAAGAGTCAAACACATCCTCGTCATCTTCATCTTCATCCTCTTCACCATGTGGACGCTGCGCATACACTTCCCTTTCGTCTTCCGACGGCGCATCGCTATCCTCTCCGTTATCACTGCCAAGCCCGCTGTCATCACCTGAGAAACTGGCTCCTTCTTGCGCACCCGTTTCGGCACCAAGGACTGAGCTTGAAGCGCTGTCATTGTCCTGGTCATTATCGTCATCGGTGACGCCGCGCCAGCTTTTCTCGCCGTCATCGTTATCGTGAGCGTCGTCGTCATCGTCGTCCGGTTCGGTATCACCGCCATTGTTGTAAGCGTTGAAACCAGGGCCAGCCGGGAAAGGTCCTGAGTGCGGTGTTGCGTAGGCGAAAGGCGTTGATTTACCTGCTATGGCGACGGACCGCTGGCTGGGTCTGCTCATGACGTCTGAGTTCGATCGTGGTAGTGCAGGTTGTGACGAGTAGAAGGGTGAAGGCGGTTCTCGTGATTGCCGAGGAGTTGCATTCCATATCGCTACATGTGCTTCTTCGGGTCGTGGGGAGGAAGAGTTTGTTACGCGGCGTCGCTTCAATCTCGCTGATGGTAGGCTAGGTGCACGTGAAATTGGCTGCGGGGCGGAGGATTGCTCAACGATGGAGGGATTGAAGCGACGTTTCGACTGACGAGGTGTGACGGTATCGACAACCGAAGCAGATACCGTACGGTTGCGATAGTAGAGTGGACGTTGCGGATGGTTCTCACTTAGTGGAGAGATGGGCTGGGGTTGCTTGTTCTTCAGTATCGAGTTGGGAGTGATTGAACGTCGCCAATTTCGACCAGCAGGGCGCATGGAGAGCTGGACGGACTGATTGCTCCCGAAAGACGAATGCACACTAGCAGGCGGAGCATCGTATGTCTCGACGAACTGCCAACATGCTTCTTTCGCATCTGCTTCAGGGACATGCGCTTGGCACTGTTCGTCGTTGCCTTCCATCTGCGAGTCTTGGTCGGGTTGATATCGAGGTAGTTGGCGTAGCTCTGGCCAGGACTGTTCCATTACAACGAACTCGTTGCGATCGACTTGCTGGGTGTAGGCTTCGCGGACGGTGACGTAAAGCCTTTTCTTTCCACCGGAAACTCTCATCATGACACCGGCTGAGAGAAACTGAGCATTCCAGAGCGCACTGCTGGACATCTCGGCGGGCGTAAGAAAACGTAGTCGCGACTCCTTGAGTACTTTTCGAAGTGGTATGTAGGGCGCTCGAAGACCTGGGTAGGCAGAGATCATAGGGTTTTCGTCGCTGTCGTCGTACTGCAGGTAATCGAAGACATCAGAAAATGCATGTGACAAGGCTTCTTGAATATCTTTGGCGCTGGAACCCTTGAACGTAACATCTCGGACAAAACCCCTGCTTTGGAGTCGCTTGTAGACTAGGTTGTTGCTTCCACAAGCTTTGGGAAACAACCAGTCATCCGTAGATCCCGAAGCCCAATTAC